TGCCTTTGGTTTACCCCTCTTTCCGTTAGTTAAGGGTTGGAGCTCTAAGTCCCCACAAAAGCATAATTTAGCCAAGTTTTCTCTCGCCTTTTCGTTATCCTTTGTTTTATCCTTAACATTCATGACATTGTTAAATATATTATCAAAGACATTTTTTTCTATGTGCATCACATCGAGGTTGTGCCTTAATAAGTTATCCTTCCAATATGCGAGATCCCAAAAAATACTTCGCCTTTTCTAATTATGATCAACTTCATACCCTTCAAACTCTTTCCATTTTTCTTCCCATCCAATTTCAGTCACTTTTGGAAAATTACTTATTACTGCCCATATATCTTGACCTGTGGAAACGGGAGGTGGGTCGTCTTTCACAACCCTATTTTTTATGAAACTTCTTTTACTCCTTCTGAAAGAGTGATTAGTTGGCAAGAAACAACGATGACAGTTAAACCAGAAATTCTTATGGCCACTTTTCAAGGTAAAAGCATCTGTGTGTTCCATACAATGAGGGCATGCCATCTTACCTTGTGTTCTCCATCCAAATAACATATCGTAGGCCGGAAAATCATTAATTGTCCACATCAAGCAGGCTTTCATGATGAAGTTTTGTTTTGTGGATATATCATATGTCAAAACTCCATTGGACCATAATAGACATAGATCATCAATCAATGGTTGCAAGTAGACATCTATCTTCAATTTAGGATTGTGATGTCTAGGTATGAGACAAGCAAGAAACAAGTATGGTTTGGTCATGCACATTTCATGGGGAAGATTATATGGAGTAACTATTATTGGCCAACATGAGTATGGAGAAGCAGATGCTTGAATGTAAGGAGTAAATCCATCTGAACACAAACCCAATCTTACATTTCTGGGTTCCCTAGCAAAGTCACGATATACATCATCAAAATGTTTCCACGCTTTTCCATCAGACGGGCGGCGAAAGACGTTGGAACTATTTTTGTTCATTTGATGCCATCTCATTTCAGTTGCCGACTCGATTGATGCATATAGTCTTTGTAATCTAGGAATGATTGGAAAATAAAACATCCTCTTCACTGGGATATCTTTGTACTTTCCCATGCCAGTCTTATGAGGAATGAACCTAGGAGCATTACAAAATTTGCACTCAGACAACTTACTATCATCCTTGTAGTATAACATGCAACCATTCTGACAACAACCAATCTTCTTAACCTTTAGCCCTAACTTAGACACCAACTGTGATGCTTGGTAATAGTTCTCAGGCAAACACTTTTGAACTGGACATACACTTTTAAGAATTTGTGCAACAAAATCTAAACCTTTTTGTGGAACATGCCAGTTAGACCTAATTTCAAGAAGTTGAGTAGATATTGATAACATAGACTGGGTAGCTCCCTCATAGATAGGCTTGTTGAAAGATATCAACTTGTCATAAAATTGTTTAGCTTCTTCATTGGGAAACTCATCCTCCAAAAATTCCTCTTGTTCCCTGTTATCATTCGCGTGAGAGAAACCTCCATGAGGCCTAAATGCATCATACATCATTTGATCCATTGCCTCAAACTGGTCAGCTTGACGCACATGTTCACTAATATTTGAGCCACCCTATTGCACCCTAAAATTTGACCAACCGGTTCCCATATCCGGTTTATGTTTCGACGCATTTTTCATTCGCATTTCGCATATTCAGATTGCATACAGTCGCATACAGTGCATTTATTCAGCCAGACTGATTTTATCGGGGTCACAACCCTGTTCTCGCGTTTCGGGCGATTTCAACCAGTTCAGATAAGCAGAGTCGTATTTTTGGGAAGTCGTACTCTTCCTGGTGTTTTCGGCTTATGCTGTTATTTTTTGGGGTATTTCGATGTCCGTATTTTTACTGTTCATCCCGTTACGGTTGCGCTGTATTATTTGTTTTTGCATCATTTTTGCTCCTTGTGAAATTATTAGGAGTTATAGGTTTTAATAACCATTTTTCTGGGTTTTAGGTAGATATTAATATAGGTTATAGAAATTAATCTAGATTTTAAATAACTTTTTTTAGAAGTTAAATAAGGAATTAACATAGGTTTTATAGATTTTAATATAGGCTTTTAATAGATATTAAATAGTTTTTTATATTTTTAATAGTTTTAAATCTTTTTTTAGAATATAATAGGTTTTGTTTCAATATTTGTTAAATAGATATCAAATAGGTTTAATAGAAATTAATATACATTTTTCTAGATTTTAAATAGGTTTTAATAGAGATTAACAGTTTTTTTCTATTAGTTGAATATTAATTTTTAGATGTTAATTAGATTTTTAGATTTAATCAGATACTATTAGTTAGAATATTAATTGTTTAGGATTAATTGTTTTGTTTAATCTAGGTTAATTGATTAGATTTTATTAGATATGGTTAATTAGGTTTAATTAGTTAATATCAATTAGATTTGATAGTTCATTAGCAGCTTTTATTAACTAATCAATTGTCGTTTTGCATTAATAGTCCGTTAATCCATGTTAATCTTTTTCTTTTAATCAGTTTTAATTTTGGTTTATCAGTCTTTAATTGCAATTGTTGAACTAATTTTGTGGGCCCAGAGGCTTGTGGAGGCCCAGTCCAGTATTCAACGCTATATGTCAATATAAAACTCTGCCACACGTTTTAGTCTCTCTCAGCCACCTCACACTCTCATTTCTCTCTGATCACGCCACTTCATCACTCCCCTTCACTGACACCTCACAAGCCACGTGGCCACTTCACCGTCCTCCACCCACACTACCTCTCCGCCACTTGTCTTCACCTCCGTTTCTCTGTCTTGCATCCGTGCCACGCGTGCACCGTCCACCTACCCTCATCGGCCGGCATGCAAACCGCCGGAAACCGCAACCGGAGAAATCAAACGTCCAACTACTCGCCGGAAACTCCTAACCGTCGTCGGAATCCATAACAATCCACCAGAAAATTTATCAGAATCAAGAACATTTCTCCAGTTTTGCCAAATTCATCAAGATCTGCAACTCATGATCTTTTCAAGAATCTGCATCCGTGTTCATCCGTTCTTCACCAAGATCCACAGATCTTCAAGGAACTTCATCAATACCGTTCATTAGGTCATCACGTTTCCAGATCTTCCAGAAAACGATCCAACAACCGTTCATCACCTTCAAGCCTTTTCCCAGAAAACTTGAAGAACGTTCATCAGGTTCATCCGTTTCCAGATTTCTCCAAGATCAGCATCACGGATCGTCAACAATACTCATCGTGTTTGTAACCGTTTGTTTCCAAAATCTTCATCGTCTCGTCTCCAGAAACCTCCTCCAAGATCTTCATCTTTGTTCATCATTCCTCAAGAACATCATCCGTCAAATCTTCAGAAGTTCATCTTCGCAAATCATCAAAGAACGCATTCATCCAACGATCTTCATCCAAATCTTCATAAGATCCTCAAAGACTCATCAATAATCTTCGTAGATCGCCATCCAGATCTCCAGTATCTCAAGAACGTTCAACAAGGAACTCATCCACGAAGCTTCGTCAACTTTCGTGGATCTTCGTCATCAACACTCAAACTCCAATCGTGTTCATATCGTTTTCTTTCATAATCTTTATCACACCTTCAGACTCAACCACTCGGATGTAAGATCTCCATTCGCGTTTAACTTTCGTCTCCAAGTTTCTGCATGTTCAGATGATGATAATGTTTGAGAATAGCTGGATTAAACTGAGAAGGATAAATTTCTCTCGCGGACAAGACAGAAGAATGGATGGAAGAAGAAGTAGAGAGAGTATGAGACGGATAGAGATGAGGTGAGAATGGTGGTGACGGCGCAAGGAGAGGGAGAAGAGAGGAAAGGACCTAGGGTTTTTCAGAGATTGATTGAGAGAATGGAAGTGAGAGTGAAGGGTAGGCCATTGGGTCTGTGGGCTTTTGGGCCTGAATGCATTTCTGATTCACACCCTCAATCCCTGGCTACACCCCCTCCATTTTTTTTTCCTTGGTTGAAGGATTTTGGGCCTGAGCCCAACGTTTTTTCTGGATGGACCACCCTCCGTTTTACTCTCATACCCCCTCCCTTTTTTTGTGTGTGCTTAGTGGGTTGGGCCCCAATTCTGTTTTATTTTTGCTGGTTGTACCCCCCTGGCTGAACCAATTACCCCCCCTGGCTTCTTTTCTTTATTTTCTTTTTATATTCTTTTCTTGAGTTTTATATTGAATAGAAGATATAGAAAATAAAAAGAATAGTGAAACAAGAAAATATAAAAAATAGTGTAAATATAAAAATAGTGAGATAAAAATATTTAAAAAAAAAATAGTAAAAATAATAGCTTGTAGATTTTTTTTTTTTTTAGATATAGTTCATTTTGGAATTTATTTTACACTTTTCTTTTAGAAGTAGTTTTAAATGTCCATTTGTTAGGGGACTTTTTACACTTCTAGATGTAGAATTTAAAGTCCACTTGTTAGGGGACTTTCTTTGTCATTGTTGTTTCTTTTGTAGGAAAACAAGGAGAAAAGATCAAAGCATCAAGGAAATAGGCAAAAAGACATAAAGGAGAAAATCATAAAGAAGACAACAAGCAGACGAAGCTTGCACTTGCACGAAGACGAAGACCAACGGAACCCTTTCCGTTCATTACATTTTTAGACTTTCGTTTCTTTCGCGACCGTCGAGTGTTGTGAGATCGTTAGATACGTAGGAAAGGTTGTGGGAGAGTTCTTTCACTCAACCTGGATGTTTAGCCTCACCCTTTGGGTGACATACGAGGCATCCGCTCCTACGTTTAGGATTTAACGTGTGCGTCCCGTTTCAAACCTTTTCTCTTGCTGTTGTGCAATTGAGACCGTTCCCCGTTTTAGCTGTAGTAAGCTGAACTACGGCTGCTCTGATCTCTCATACTTATTGAGAGTACGTAGGCACAAGACGCGAAGTCTTGGCGAGCAAACTTTCCCCGTAGTTTCCCGAACTACGATGACTCTGACTTTCTCTCTTGAGAATACGTAGGCATAGAGCGCGACGCTCTATCGAGTCAATTTCCTTCCGTTTAGACTTAGCAGCCTTAGATAAATTGTTTTTGCATCCTTTAGACAAACAAGTAAGCGTGGATCCCATCGAGTACGATGGACGTGAGGGGTGTTAATACCTTCCCCTTGCGTAACCGACTCCCGAATCCAGGTTTTGGTTGCGATGACCATACCTTTCCCGTTTTTTGCGAGGTTTTCTCTGAGCGTTTCCTTTCCCTCCTTTGGGATAAATAATGCACGGTGGCGACTCTTCTGTTTTGCCGGCGCCGATTTTCGCAGTAGCGACACACCCCTTGTATCAATGTTGAGCTCCACTTCTCCATGTTGAGTCCAAATCCAATAGTCTGGTTGAAATCCATCTCGATATAAGTGAAGTCTTACATTAGTTGTTGTACTTATCTTACAACACTTGCAATTTATACACGAACACCTTATCCCTTCCTCAGATTTACAAATGGGTTGATTCAAAGCCTTCTTCACAAACTTTTTAACCCCACAAACAAACTCATCTTTCAATCTGTGTCTATCGGAATATGCTCTATTATACATCCAAGTACGATCCATTTTCTATATAGCAAACAATTAACATGTGAATCACTAAACATTTTCTATATCACAAATAATCGAGTAAGATAACCTTAAAAGGGCCCAATAAGGAACATATATGAAATCCATCGTGTTAAACTTACTAAGTCCAGAAAACTTAACTTATTGTTGTAGGAATTAAACAAAGAATTACATAAAAATGAGAAATAAAACAAAGTAAATAATTCATCGTTTAACAAATAGTATGAGGGACAAAGACAAATACAAATATTTTCCATAAAGCAAACCAAAATGGTTTCATCATACAATTTAAAACAAAGAAAAGAAGGTTAAGGAGTTAGAGCGCCTATTAATTGTCTGCAAACTTTCTAACAATAAGAAGAAGGTTTATCACCACACATGCATCTCAAATAAGTAAGTGGGAAAATTTTCCACAAAATTCAAGCTTATGGAATCCCATATACAATTAGGGATGGGAAGTGACTGTAACAACCCTTGAGAAGCAGCAAGATCAGGTTTACATTGCTGACAAACATCACAAGTCCTAACATAATAGGATGTATTTGTTCATCCCCTTCCAAAAGAAAAGTGACTTTATTCTTGCAGCAATGACATCTCTTTCGCAGTGACCACCAGATGGTGAATTATGAAGCCATCTTAAAATGAATTTCTCAAAAATAAGATATGCCCCAAATAATAAATTTCCTTTCCTTTTGAACTTATCTTTACATTCTTGATTTAATGAATGAAAATATGAGTCTTGAGACAAGAAAACCTTAATTTTTTTTAATAAATCCTCTTGTATTACTCAACAAGAGAGTCAATAACTCTGATCCTAACTTCTTTGATAAGGCATATGCGGTAACATTTGTAACTCCTTCTTTATGATTTATGTGAAACTCATATCCCATGAGTTTAGCCATTCTCTCTTGTTGGAAATGGGTATTCAATTGTTGCTCCAACAAGAAGTATGAGTTTTTCTTGTTAGTTTTGAGGATGAAGTCTTTATAGGCTAAATACGTGCTCTATTTATTAATAAAATAAACAAATAGAAAGAACTTGTGTTTTATATATGATAAAATTAACCCTATTAATATCTTAAAAGTAACGTAGAAAAGATTTGACAGCAATTGGGCGTGGATTTGTCGTTCGTCATAAAAAGTTTGCAGACAATTACAGGATGTACTCTATGAGTCACTTTGTTAAAGGTATTGAGCTCACAATATTGCTGACCTGTTATATGATTTATGGATCAACAACACCTAACTCAGCAGCATATGCTCTTCTGTCATGGTCAATGTGGTTTTTGGTTTGCTCTTGGTTGTTTGCTCATTTCCTTTTCAATCCATCAGGATTTGAGTGGCAGAAGATAGTTGAGGACTGGGATGATTGGACTAAATGGATTAGTAATCGAGGTGGTATTGGTGTTCCTTTAAACAAGAGTTGGGAGTCATGGTGGGATGAGGAACTGGAGCATATGCAACACACTGGCCATACTGGCATGGTTCCCATTTGTTTCAGAATTCCAATAATCTATGCTTGAAAACTTAAGCTTCAAGTTAACTTTATTTATTCTATCATATAACTGAGATTATTTTTGCAACTTTAGGAAATTCTTGAGCAGGGAAAAGGAAATTGAGGTGAGAGAATTTGAAAACTAATGCATGCATGGATGTCTAAGACTTGTATCAAGCTGCAACTGTTCTTAAACTCTCTGCTTATTGGCGGTTGATGAGATAAGACATACGAAAAATTCAAGATGCCTCACAGCAAACAACATATTTTGGCAGTAAGATTTCAATAAAGCATTGTAAAAATGTCTTGTGTGGTCTCAAATGTGTAAACCATGCTTTGAAAACTGTTAATAAATTTTGATTTTTTCTACTAAAAAGATCTTAACATCCTGTAAGATGAAAGATAAAACAATTACTTTTTAGGTTGGTCCAATTCATAAAGAGTTCTTCTCTGTTTTAAATGGGCCCCACCGTGGGATTTGTTCCTTTGAATTAATCGATCGCAAGATCGAATACTAAACTGAAAGAAGATGCAATACTTTAAGAGATCCGTTTTCATTTTCATCTAGATTATTTCTTAAACAATGTTCTTACTATTGTTGTTTATTTTTCTTACAGATCAACGACGGCTCCTGAAAAGCCGTAACTGACAATTTTCTATGTTGGGAAAATGTTAGTATTCAATGCTTTTGCGCCCTCCAACGCAACCGAGATCGTGGAATTAGCGACAAAGTTAGCCTCTGAGAATTCAAACACAGAAGAAAGCCCCCCCCCCCCCCCCCCTCTGCACTTGTCACAAGTGAAAAACCAAAATCAAAGGAATCTCAAATCCCTCAGACCAACACTACTGCCTTAGAAAAATCTAAACCAGAAAACTAAACCAATTGTTCCAAACTAGGCTTATGTTCAACCAAGCATTCAGCCGAGGACTTCAAATCCAGCGCATTCTTGCTGGTGGCAAGAAACACAAGCAAAACTGAATCAAGCCTTTTCTGCAACATTCAGCCTGACTTTGTAGGGTATATTGCTATCCTATTAGTCCTAACTCTACCACAGCAGCATACAAGTTCAAAAAAAAAACTGGTTTGTGCTTGTCAATAGAACAATTCTTGCAACCAGTGCATATAAAATCTTAAATAGTGATGAGAGAAGTATATCATAAGTGTTCTAAGACATAGTTTCTAACTATCCAATTCAGGCATATTCACTTTTTGGCATTGACATTTACATACTAATATCATTGCATTTAGACAGTTTCTAACTGACTAAACCATTCACAATACATTCTATTTGTAATAAATCATTCATCAACAAAACAATGCAAAATTCAACATAGGGTCAATAATAGAATTCAAGACATTTATACAATTCAATTCAATATTTTGAATTAGCTAGCACCTAACAAGAGTTTTTTACACACTAACATTTCCCCCTTCACAATAGAATGTCAATTACCATACTAACAGAATCGAGTTCAACCACATAAACCAAGTGAGCAACAATGGAATCCCTAACGTTCAACCACATTTAACAGAACAGTGCATATAAAATCTTAAATAAAAATTAGAGTGTGAATCATTAAACCTAACAGCAACACAGACAAAAGCAGGGGATGAGTTGAATGCAAAACATCATAATCATTAAACCTAAATCTCAGTTAGGGTTGGAATTAGAATGACAAATAACAAAATCTAACCTTAAAATGGCAAATAATACAAACAAATTGATTCTATCTCTGCGTCTTTTCTCTGCTTGACTATGACTCTTGGAAGCACTTGCAGCTCTATCTTCTAAACTTCCTTCAACAGGTAAAGGCCAAGACTGAAACTCACTACATTGAAAAAAAGCAGAAGAAGAATCAGAGATAGTTTGAGGTTGAAAAAAGCAGAAGAAGAATCAGATACCAATAAACCCACTCAGAAAAATCGATGATCTTGAAGATGAAAACGAAGAAATGAAACTCGCTACATTGATTTTAGGGGTTTTTTTCTTCTGAAAATGTATTTGGTTTAATTTTAGGGTTCTCTGAAAGGAATTAAGAGGGAAACATGAAAAACAAGGTGGGAAATATTTAGCCTCGGCTCGTCCGTGTCTTCAGATAAAATAAAAAAAAAATAAAAAACGTTAGCCTCGGCTGATCCGTGTCTATCAGATAAAATAAATATATTCGAAAAATATTAAAAACGTTAGCCTCGTCTCATCCGTGTCTAATATTTAAAAAAAATAGAAAAACTTTAAAATGGGGTTTTTTGCGTTTAAGTAACCTCAGTAACGTCAAGGCTAGTTAGCCTCGGTGTCTGTGGCCGAGGCTAAGTTCGTAGCTTAAAATAGTTAGCCTCAGATTGCCCGTGTCTAATATTTAAAAAAAATAATTCAAAATTTTAAAAAAAATCAAGCCTCGGCCTAGCCGTGTCTAATGAATTAAATAAAAATAATTGTAAAAGAAAAACTTTAAAATGACTTTTTTTTTGCGTTTGAATAGCCTCGGTTTTGTCAAGGCTAGTTAGCCTCGGTGTCGGTGGCCGAGGCTAAACTCGCAGCTAAAATAAAGTTTTCTATTAGTGATTCATCTGATAACCATAAGCACAAGGGACAAACTCTAATCCATGATCTTTGCATCTTCCATTGAAACAAACCTGCGAAAAAAAGTGAAAACCCTAATACATTATGTAAACCCTAATTCTCCATGACCTCTGATCCCAATGACAAGCCTTGAAGTTAATGAATGCATAATGTGTTTAATAACCTAATAAAGTGTATGTACACGAGGAACATAATATGCATAAACTATAAGATTTGAATGAAAAAGTATGACAAATTTGAGGTATGACTAGGAAAAGAACATATTATTAACTTTTTTTTCAAATTAGAAAATAGAATAATTATATTAAATTATTTTTAATACATATTAAATTCTCTCTAATCACTATTAAAAGTAAATATTTATTTTTCAAATTTATTAAATAACTATTTATATTTAAGACCAAATACATCATTTAATAAATTTTAAACATAGAAAATTGATTACAAAGAATATTTAAAATAGTTATATTATATATTATAATATGAATTAAAAAAATACTTTTGACTTAGAATACATGTCTGTATAAAATATAATTCTTTTATAATAATATTTTAAATATGCATTCAATTAAATTATTTAACAATACACTTTTTAAAAATATCTAAAAATATTTATGTGACATAATTTAATTAAATATACATATAAAAGAAAATATTTCACATAAATTAGTCCATCAATCACATCCTTTAACGTAGAGGTGACAATTGGATTCATTAAGATAAAATCTATTCAATTCATCTATCAAAAAATTCATCCAATCTATCCGCCAAATAAAAAGTAAGTTAATGGATTAGATGGATTATGAATTGATTCAATCCATCCAATATATTTTAAGAATTCAATGAATTATTTTTATTTTTGTTAAATTTATTTATAAAAAAAATTAAAAATAAATTGTTTTAAAGAAAAGAATTAATTTT